CATACGGCTGTTGTCTTCAGACCCTTTGCAAGGGAGGGTGCCTGTGTCTTGGAGATTGGACGGGGGAAGATGGCCCATGTGCTTTGGAAAGCAAGGTTCCATATGGCTGTTGTCTTCAGAATATGTCCTCCAGCAAATCAAGCTTCTTGGTGGGTGGAGAAGACAATGAAAGTCTGAATTTGAACCTGCTGGGTGGGGAGGGGTATGTGTGGACGGAGGAGCCCCTGAGGTCGGTGAGTTTAGCTGCGAGGGAAGGGGTTATGGTTGAAAAGCCTCCCGGAGAGTCACAGGCCAGGAACTGCAGCTCGGTGACGGGCTGTGAACAGAGCCACGGCCGCTGGACAAGCCTCCTTTGTGTGGCAAGCTCTCATTGGCCAGTTTCGAAGAGATCACTTAGGTTTCAATCAGCGGTAACAGATACAACCTTGAAGTGGCAAGTTTGTTGGGAAAAAGCAAAAGCAGCCGGAAAGGAGAGGGGGACGCCGGCTGGAAAGAGAGAGGGCGAGGCTGTCGCCTGAACCCCTGCTATGTGTCCAGCCATTTCCCGGCAGCCTGCTGAGGGCCAGGCCTTCTACCCTCCTCGAAACGCCCTGCGCTTTTGCAGCGAGGCAAATAGAAGCTTAGAGAGAGGCCTCTTGGCCACCCAGGGGGAGACTCACATTTCAACCTCACGTCTGTCTTCCTGGGTTCAAATGCCCGATCTGCCTCTTACTGGAGTGTGATATCAGATGAGTTATCTAACCGGTCCGTCGTTGCCTCAATTTTCTCCCCTGTGAAATGGGGACGATGCTTCGGCACTCCACTGGGGTTGGGTAAGCATTAAATGAGTTAATACATGTGACATGCGTGGAACGGTGCCAGGCACACAGTAAATTCAGTACAAGGATTAGCTATTAGTCTATTATTGTTATTCTATGTGCGTAGTTTGTTCAGCACGGCCCCGAAAGCCCTTTTTCTCTCTTTCTCTCCAACCCCCTTCCCACCAGCGCCCCCTCCCTTGTAGAGTCCAGCCCTGGTGTTACCTTCCCCAGCCCCCCAGTGATGTGGGCGCCCCCCAACTCCCACCCGGGGGCTCAGCCTCAAGGAGGACTGGTCTGCCCATGTTGCCCAGACCCCTCGTGGCGGGCGGAGCCGTGTGGGTGGGGGGGGTGCGTGGGGATGCGGGTCCCCCACCCCTCCTCTCTGAGAATCCCAGGGCATAAGTTAGATAACCGTGACACCTGTTTTAAATTAGCCTTCAGAAGCCTCCGACAGCTGAGAAATTATTTAACAGGGAAAGAATTGAGTACATGAATAAATATTAATATTAAATCACCGCTTCCCTAGATTTAAGGGGAAGGAAGGGGGACTCACTGAGAAATGGAGGCAGCGGCTTTCCCAGAGACACGGCTGCCCGTGGCTCGGAGAAGTGAAACATGAGACGGCATTGGGGGCATCAGGCCATCGGTCTCGGGTTCCTGTCGCCAGGCGGGGGCTCCATCTGTCAGGGGGGCCGGGCAGGTGGCAGAGACTCGTGGCATCTCAACAGGTAGCTCATTTGGGCTCCAGCCTTCCTGGTCCGAGGTCCCGGAGGGGAAGAGGGGCGGCCTGGGGGCGGCCAAGTGTGGAGCAGGTGTCCAAACCCCCCTCCCCGCCCTCAGAGAGGAGCCACATGGGGACTTTCGCAGGCCTGCCTGGAAGTCCTGTAGCCGTGGGCACCTTCTTCATAGAAGACATCTTAAAATGTGTATTTTGTGGCCACATTGGCATAAAGGCAAATATGACCCAGGCTGGGTTCGTGATTATATATTCATTATTATTCTGTTCTCTCCCCTCTCCCTCGTTGTAAAAGAAATCAAAGCCGGGACATTTTCGTGGGCTCTGGGCACTGCCTGCTGGTCCTGGCCGGGGTGGGGCTGCTGTTTGACCCCCAGGGGGGGCACTGGTGAGGAGGGCTCGGCCTGGGGGTGCGGGTCCTCCAGGAAGCCAGAACCACCTGAGGGTGATGAGGATTGGGGAGCTCAGACCCT